GGGCCATGTACTTAGGAGCTGTGGTTGGCACTCGCTGAAACCCATGCTCACAAGCACAGGAGGTGAAAGCCCCTTGTGCAGTCTCACTTGGTTTGACGTCAATGGAAATGCATGTTTTGTAAAAAGCAGGTATCATATCTGACTAATTACCGACCTTCTGGCTCTTTTACACAAGGAGAAGTTCACGATGTGGGTCCTAGCAGCATTTCTTTCAGGATTTCAAGGAGAAAGTCTTATGAAACCCTCCGATTATGACTCAATTTAATGTATTAATCAGTATAGAGATAGCTCAGTGCTCTCACTGATGAATATGAGTTTAGCTTACACCTCTCAGTGGCCTACATGATACTCTTTGTAAGAAATGTACCAATATTTCTCTGTGGTGGTTTAGTTGTTATTTACATGCTAATAATCAGAATCTCCATCACCTTCACCTGATTTCTTAATAGGCAGGCTGGCCACTGAACTCCGATTTTGTAAGAAAGGACCTTGTTTTGTGTTTATAGCTAGCTCTGTGGTAATATAAAAGATCCAAAAGATTGGAACAAAAGGAATGATGGTATATTTAGAACACGTAGTGAAGGGTCTCATTCACAAATGCCAAGTTATTTGAATATGTCTTCTTAGAAAATTAGGAAAGTATTCAAATATATTGAAAACAAGTTGATGAAAACCATCGCTTTGTTTCCTGTGATAAGAAAACTGAAGTGAAAGCATTTCTAGCCTAGATTTGTAATGAACACATACTTCTCTGAATCAGAACTCTTAAATTAGTCCTGATGATGGGCAAGGCTGAAATCTCTATTATGAAACACTTCACCAAAAAAAGTCAAAGCCAGTCATCCTTTAAAATGGGTATGTTAATGACACTAGAAATATCAAATTGGAGCAGAAAACAAATGGCTTAACACAGAAAAAGCATCATATGGAGCTTTCCCTAGGTAATTTATTTTCCATTAATGAAAGTATTTAAAGTGGATATATATCAGACAATATCTATATCTATATATCTATATTTATATCTATCCATCTATCTATTTATTTACAATCTGGGGCTATAAATAATTTCAGAGTACAAGTTTATTTTAGGTAAATGGCCTTTAGTAATATCTATTGAAAAATTTAGATACTACTGTTTCAGAATAACTGTGAAAAACAAATGACTGTACTCACTATGGCAACAAGGACTTAATTGGCTAGGTTACAGGGAGAGTAGCAAAAACTAGACAGAACCTTGAGCTTCAAAGTCAGATTCTACCCAGGTATGCTTGGGTTATATGTTTGTTGTCTTGAAGACATGATATTTCTTTCAGCAAACAGCCATCATTATTTTATTTCTGTTATAAAAAGAGATGATATTACTTAAATACCTCTTTCCAAATTACACTTACTGTCAGAATACAACTTTTTTCTTTCCTGTTAACTATTTCCACATTTTTACACTGCTTTTTTAGAAAGTTTAAGACATTTTTCTCTGCATGTAATAGTCATAACTGTTCTCCCACTTCTCAGAGAGCAGCACAGCATGAGGGGTATAATGCATACTGCTTGCCTGGGATGTGCTAAATGTAGCCAAGAAAGGGGTGTGTTCCTGCCCTTGATACAAGTATAAAGTGATGGAAGCACATTATAAACCCAGAGCAATCAAAAGGAAAGGATGGATAAATTAACCTAAAATTATATTAACATAATCCACTTTCCCTCAAACATGATTTTTTTTTTCCATTTCAATCTCCAAAAGTTGGGAATTTGATCATTGTTTCTTAATATTATCAGCCTTTATCTCTTTCATTTTACTTTTGAATTCTCATTACAATTTTAAAATACTAGTTTGACAAAAGACCTCCAAGAAGGCTTCCACTTATTTAAAGGAAAGTGTGGTATTATAGTATACAAATAAAGTCTAGATATTTGGGTATTCATATTACCATCTATGCATAAGCACGGACTTATTTGTAAGAAAACTCTGATGTGTAATGAATGTCATTATTAAGAAAATTCTTATCAAAAGTAATTGAAAGAATACATGGGAAATAATGGACTTTTACCATGAAGGGGTCACTTCTCTACAGCGTACAGCCTCATTGAAAAGTATATAGGACTTTTAAGATTTAATGTTATATTAGCTTGCTTTTATACTGCTGACAAAGACATACCGGAGACTGGGTAATTTATAAAGGAAAAGCGGTTTAATGAACTCACAGTTCCACGTGGATGGGCAGGCCTCATAATCATTGACAGAAGGCGAAAGGCACGTCTTATATGGCAGCAAGCAAGAGAAAATGAGAACCAAGTGAAAGAGGTTGTCCCTTATAAAACCATCTGGTCTTCACTACCACAAGAACAGTATGGTGGAAACTGCCCCGATGATTAAATTATCTCCCACTGGGCCCCTCCTACAACACATGGGAATTACGGGAGCTACAATTAAAGATGAGATTTGGGTGGGGACACAGCCAAACCATATAAAATGCCCTCATCATTTTCCAGATAATTGTTGCAAAATCCTCTTAATATCTTCCTACATTTCCCCATCCAGCCCTGTTCCAACCTGTTCTCCACACTTTTCTAGATGAATCTCACAAAGTCTCCATGAAAATCTGACTGAATCATACATCCTTGCATAAAATCCTTCAAAGGCTGGTGCTGGTAGCAGCAGCCTGCCTAACAGCACAGTTTATAAGGCTTTTCCTGATGTGGAGCCTGCTTAATTCTGCAGTCCCATCTCTCAGCACTGTCAGACTCTTCACTGAAGCTTTTCTGAATTATTTTTCTTATCTTAGTCTTCTAGCTTTATGACTTCAATGCCTTTGCAAATGCTTCTTCCACACTTGAAACCCCAACTCTTCTCCCCTGTCTGCATACTTAACTCCTGCTCACTGTTCACCCCCTTCTCATGATGGAATCTGACATCCTCCTTGATATTTATGTAAGATCCTCTGCGCACTGCACTCATACTACCTACCATGCTTTATTGTCATTATATATTTTGTATTGCTCTTTTAATAAAACATAATTTCCCCAAGGGCAGGGATAATATAGTTTCTGTTTTCATGACTAGCTTGTTAGGTTTTATTGGAGGCAGTACTGACCAGTAGCTATGTGGTTTTATTGGAGGCAGTACTGACCAGTAGCTACATGCACAGACACTGCGGCCAGAGTGCTTGGGTTCAAATATCAGTGCTACCACTTCTTAGCTGTGTGACTCAGTGAAAGTTATCTAACCCTTCTGTGCCCCAGTGTCCTCATAGATAAAATGAGAATAATAAGAGTATTTACCTTATAGCATTGTGAGGATCAAGTAAATTAACATATGTAAATGCTCAGAACATGCTTCGTACTTATATTAGTGTGAGCTGTCATTCTGGCTGCAGCACTTCCAGTGTCTGACTCACAGAAGGTGATGCACACAACTCTGTTGTAAAAATTGAAGGATGAGGAAATAACAAATATAAAGCTTTTTCAATTATCCTCTTTTTATTGTCTTGTCTTCTACCCTTTATATTAATAATTGATCCATTCATTCAACAAGTATTTATTATCTACACTCATAGAACTGAGGATTATCTTTAAAATACCCACTTCATTTTGTGGAGGGCTTTGGAAAAAAAGTACCTGCCAGAAAAATGATAGACTTGGGTGAAAACTCATTCTCCTAGAGTGCTCATAATAATAGCCTCCAGTTAAGTTTATACTGGGAGCTCTCTGGGGTCTTTCCAAAGGTGAAGAAAATGATTACAACTTCTGATTTTTTTTTCATTTCCAATTTGTATGAGCTTTTAAACTTCTTTTAGCACTTCACCTAACTATTATGAAATCAAGATCAAAGGCAATTTCTTAAAGAAAAAAAAGACGTAACTCTACTGTGAAGCTAGTTTCATAAAACTACATCATCTGAAAAACCACATAAAAGAAGTGACCAAGAGAAAAGATTGAAGAGCTCACAAGAACAGTCAGAAATTTCTATGAAATTAGAACTTGTTTTCAAAAAACCCAATTAAAAACAACAGTGGACATGATCAAGCGTACTATTGCCCCATTCTGCACTTTTTAACTTTCTTTCAAAGGAATGTGCTAAGCGAGGCTGACTTTTTCTAACTCTATTTCCCATTGCCTTCTAATATGCTTTTCATCTTGTTTTGTATATGTTCTCTTCGGTCTTGAACCCTGTTTCGGGGGACATAAGATTCTGGTAACATTGGAGGTGAATGACCTGTATTCCCTGTGTGCTGTGAGTGTGTGGAGGCCTTTCTGGAGAGTCATGAGAGAACAGAGGTTAAGTGTCTCTGTCCCCAATCATTTCTTTCTGTGCATCTCTTCTTTCCTCCGATACTTTCTGGCTGTGTTATTCCACCAATGTCATAGGCCCTATGTCCATGGTGGCCATAATATAGGTTATAAGTTATCTCTCTATCTGGTTAGCAAGGTCTAGCATAGCATAGGGTGGCTGTAGGCACAGGTAAAGTAGCCCATGACAGGCGGAGGTTGGGGTTATTTGCTTTGAGTTTCACTGTATCCCAGCATGTGGTGAAGCCCTGGTACTCAGTTTCTACTCGGTGAGTGCCTGCTACATGCCAGGCATTGTGCTAGCTGCTGGGTATTCAAAGATGAAAGGCAGTACAGCCCTTTCATGTACTAGCTCAGTGACCTGGGCTAGATAATTCATTCTCAGCAGAAATGTCTTCATTTTCAAAGAGGACTGATGCTCATTCTATAAAGCTGTCGTAAGGATGAAATGAACAAGGCTCTAGTACAGTCCTTTGTACATAGTAGGTGCGCAAAAATGATAACCGTTATTTTTGGTGATGATAGTGATGAAAATGAGGAGGAGGACGAGAATGACAAGTCATCCTAGCATTCCAAGAGCCTAATATCTAGTGAGGTTTGATGAACACACGAGTTTCCCATACCTAATTATTGTGCTTGAAACTTTGAAGACAGTGTAAACTATGACGATTTTTGAATTTGTTTTCTTCTTAATTTTGTATGATGGGTTCAAGAGTAAGCTATTGAATGATCAAAGATGCCACATTGAGAATGACAATTCTGATTCCTGCACAAGTGATTCTCAATAACTGGGGAGTGAATACAACTCTGCTGGTAAAGAAAATCCCAGCAGAAAAGGAATGTGATTCTCACAGAAGACATAAGGTACTTTATATGTTGATCACCCTAACTTAAAGACAGAGAAGGCTGAGGTTCACCAGAGCTAAAGCCTGTATATGCAGAGAAGAGAGACTTGCTTAAAGAGGCTTCCACTGTGGGAATGAGAAAAAGCCCTTGAGAAGATGCTGAGCTTCTTCTCACAATTAACATAAAAGGAAAGATTTGTAGGGAAGTTTAAATCAATTACATTTTTTCAGTCAGCAACGTTTATTGTGTTCTGATTACAGGCCAGGAAACATGCTCAGGCTGCTAAGGAAACAATGATACACAAAAATCTGAGTTCTCATTGTTTCAGGGTTCATAGGTTAGTGAGGAACTCAGGGGAACTCAAACTAAGACCCTGTGAGACGGAATAGAATGTTGGGGAAGGACAACCCACATCTGAAGGATGAAGAGGGGCTAAGAAGTCTAGGCACAGGGAACTGTGTATGCAGATCCTGCAATACGTACACAAGATACTGGCAAGTGTGTGGAACAGAAAGCTACTCAGGTAGCTGGAGAGCAGCTAGTGGAGTGATGAGTGGCTGCAGACAATGCTGCAAAGGAAGGCAGAAAAATCTGATCATCATGTTCTTCTAGGAAAGCAAGGAGTACATATTGCTAGTATTCTGTAGCAGAGAATGACATGGGACTTGGAAAGATGAACATCGTGACATTTTATGCTGATGAGCTTCATGTTTTTTCTTGCCCAAGGAGTTTATCATTCCTGCAGATGGGGTTTTGGGTATATTCAAGATATAGCCCCTCCCTTTCTCCCTTGCCAAACACCTTCAGTGACCTGCTTAATATTCACGGCATTTTTTAAAAATCCAGATTCCTTTTCACAGTATACATGGCCATCTCAGTCTTGGGTTTTACTCTCCATTCTGTCAACTATAGCCTCATGGCTGGCCTTTAACAGACTGCTTAAACAGTCTTTGCTCTTCTTCATCTGACAAAAGATATAACCACCTCATAGAGACATTGTGGATATTATTTGAGCAAATATATGCATTAAGCACTTAACTCAGCATTTGACCCGTAGTAATAACTCAACAAATGATAATTTTTTAGCAGCAAAATAACAATGTACATATTAGAACACCTATAATTAGAAGGAAAACATGCGCCTAAAAGATTCAGCTAAGAAATTTCATTGCTATGTTCAAGCAGAAAAATCTGTGTCCTTTCAGGGTTGTAGGGCACTGAATATGTGAAATCAAGTTTCAGAAGCACCTATGTACTCCTGATAAAAAAAAAGTTGTGAATTTCATATGAACATATAATTTACAGATTTTTTTTAAGACCATGGCTCAAATATGCACCTTTGTGTATAACTGCTCTGCTTTCTGATGGGTAACAAACAATAAAATCTAATAAGGTTTTCATTCTATAATACTGCCTTTATTTAAATCTGATCAAAGCCTCAAATATATAGTCTGGTATTAGAGTGTGATGGCTTCCACACTATGCCTGTGCATGTTTAGAAGAGCCTCCTAGAGGATGGACTTCCTTCTGGAGGTAAATAACTAGCGAGAGCTGCAAAACTGAGATCTGTAATAAAATACCTTGAATTCTGATTTTCCAACTTGCTCAAGTATTCTCCAGTTGATGCTATGTCCTGAATTAAATTTGAGTTACTGATCATAAGCATTTGATTTTTTTTTATGCCTATGATGCATTTCATAGGGTTAAGATAACTCCTTGAAATAGAAATTATCCAAATGGGAAAGCTTGGGTGAAACTATATGGATAAGCAATTCTGTCTTCCTACAAATTCGCTCCTTTTAAAAAGTCGTTAAAATTCTTTTGCGGCATATTTGAAGCATCCTGTAAGTAAGCACATTGCTGCTTGAGGAAGTTGCTGTTGGAAAGGGCCCATTTTCATGGTTCATAATAAAGAAATACTGCAACATTATGAAAGAATATTCACCAACTGGTGTGCTCTCAAAAAAGTATTCACAGCCATTGTGTATGATTTGTGAATAAAATAAAACATTAAAATGAGCATTCACAATATTAGCATGTTAATCATACACTTCCATATGGTGCTTACAGTTGTCTCCATTGTGTGCATTCAAAGTTTTTTGATTTTAAACTTGTACAAGGACTTTATAAACACTTGGTAACAATCATTCATTGCCTTAGCAATATGTAGCTATTCTGACCTAAAGCTAGATGAGACAAAGTATGACACTGGTGTGCTGTAAAAATTGAAATACTTGGTTCTGGTTTAAATTTTTAGGTTTTGGGGTTACTTAACAGGAAGAATATAAATTTCAATACTAGCTAATAATTGCAATTTAACAGTGGATTAATAAAACCATTCTTTTTCAAGAGTCAAATCACTTACTGAGCAATAATCAGCTATCAAAATTATGTCATGGGTTGCTGGTCCACAAACTCAATCAGATCTTTGCGTAAAGTGTACTTTCACATTTCCATTCTTGTGTCCAGAGTCAACAAATGTCAACTCTCTAGGCAGGAGCTGATGCAACCCTTGAGACTTGTTTCCTAAATATGGCTTTTGCACAAAGGTATTAGAAAGCTCAATGAGCTTATATTTATTGAATTCTTACTGTGTGCCACTAAGCTAAACTCTCAAATGAATAATCTTATTTAATTCTTACATATCAATGAGTTAAGTACTATTTTTAGCATTTCCACTTTAAAAAAAAAAACTGATGTGCAGAAATTAAAGAGCATGGCAAATACACAGTGCTGGTGAATGGCAGGAGAGGCACTTGGAGCCAGCTGTCTATATCCAAAGTCCACAACTTTACCCCCTGTGCTCGACTGTGTTTTTTTTGTCTACATCAAACTTTTCATGACCTCTTTTACTGCCCAAAAAGCCAATCCAGTTCAGGAAAGAACAAGCAGACTGGAACATTCTGCATAGTGCTCACGTTACTGCCACATTATACCCCTGGGCACTGACCTGTATTTCATCAAATGTAATACATATTGATGCTGGAGTTTTCTTTATCTTATCAAAAGGTTTTCACACAACTGTATCATATCTGTCTCATGACTGATGGTAATTTTGAGTTGTCATTGCTTTTAAGACGTATCCTAACTTCTTTGTGGTTAACTTTTTAAAAAATTAATGTTTTAAAGTCAATATAGTATAATAAATGTTGATTAGTGTTGTCAAAGCCCTTTAATGTAGTCTGGGGCCTTACTCAGCAGTCTAATTTAGATTTACCTGTCACTAACATATTTTCCAAGAAAATAATCATTTAATTCTAACAGAGCTTAATCTGCTTTTTCAAACCATGCATCATGTTTATTGACTCATGTGTGACTCCCATCCAAGCAGCCACAATTAGAGTTGGCCACATCCTTTTTCTTTCCAGAATTAAATATACATATTTAATTAATTAGTATATATGCATGTATATATATATATATATATATATATGTAGTGACTGTAGAACTTAGTAATTGGTGACATGTTTCATATTAACTGCTTTAGATGAAAATAATTTTGAACTTTCAATGATTATATAGTCACAGAATATTGAGTCTGAGGAAATCTTTACATTCCAGCTGGTTCAATTTCCCACCCTGGGTAGGAATTCTTGGCTCTAGATCATCATCCAGTGTTGGTGGCTGTGATATATGATACAGCAAATAACATTCTCTATTGATATAGATAGGTAAAATGTGATATATTTTATGTTGCAAAATAAAAGATTTAAAATATTGGGTACAATATGTTGCAAAATCTCCACCAGTTATCTTTATTTCTTGTTACATGTGGTAGCAACAGCACCAAGTGCCTCAGGGCCTAGACATCTCAGTGATGACTGGCCCTAGGAGACCACCGCTGAGTCCTGATTGCTGCAAATTGGGCTGGCAAATAATACCTGCCTGTACTTAATGCAGTATCCTTGCAACTGCGAATCCTGTTGTGCCCCTGTGGGTTCCCTGAATAGCAGCCTCTTGAGTATCTTTTTGACAAGTTCTCTTTAGTTGTCACTGCAGGCCTGGTGTCTGGCCAAGCTTTACATCCATGCTGTTAGTGATTTTGTTATTCTGGTCAACACATTTCTGCAATAATGATAAAGTACCAATTATGGAATTCTATATTGTTTTGTTACGAATAATAATTAAATGGCTATGAACTATAATTATAGCTGCCACTTTTTTATTGACCACTATGCTAAGTGTTTTGTAATACATTGTGTCACCACTATCACTTATTAAGCTTTCATAACTTACCCGTAATCAGACTACCTGACCTAATGCCAAAATTTTCAGCCTCAACCCTAACTTACTGGGGAGAAGGAAAGATTGTGAAACTTGGTCTAGAGAATTTATAGGAAGTGTGTAAGTAAGTTCACACGGCCAACAAGGGGTGAAATTCAGACTTGTGTTACAAGTCTTGCTTTTGGTCCATAGTTCCTTCTAAAACTCAGCATTTGATGAAACACATGCAATTTTTGGATACATGGCTGGCTTACTTCTAGAGTAAATAAATTTAGTCTTTGATATTACATCCATTTTAATATGTCAGAAATTATACACGAATGTCTGTCTTTGTCTATTTGGGTTGCTCTAACAAAATACTATAAACTGAGTATACAAACAACATAAATTTATTTCTCACAGTTCTGGAGGCTGGGGAGTCCAAGATCAAGGTGCCAGCAGATTTGGTGTCTGGAGAGGCCCTACTTCCTGGTTCATAGATGGCCATCTTCTCACTATAAACTCACAGGACAGATATCTAAGATTGAACTAAAAGTCAGAATCAGGAATGATTGGTCTGAAAATGCTGGATCCTATTTCTGCAACTCCTCCCAAACTAAAGCAGTGGTACCAGGTGACTCAAAAGTCATATAACTGCTTCTAAGCTTACAAATACAGAATTAGAATGACAAAGCCAATATATTTGAAAGTAGAATAAAATCCATTCCTAAATCACACCTGTGTCTTTGTGTAAAAGGTATAAACTAAATTTAAGTATTCACTAATGAAAGAAAAATTAAAGCTGTCTATCTAAC